ATAAAGAGGGTGGGTTTAGTAGCAGCCAGCCTGATGAAGTCTATGATCATGGCCTTTGGGGTCCTAGTGGTGTAAAGGGGAAGGTCTGATCCTTCAATTTGGACATTGACTAGTGCAAGAAGAAATTTGTAGACAGTGCCAAAGGATTTGTTCTGATTGTCTTCAGCAGCTGCAGTGGATACTTCAGTGGATTGGGCTTCATAGCACAGGGCATTCCTATGTAACCTCTTGGCCACAGTGAGCAGTTCTTGCTTGGACCGTGGGGCTTTGGCTAAAGATAGTTCTGCTTTGCTCAGTTTTAAGATAGAGTATGAGGTGATCTTGAAGACTTTGTCTAGTGGGATTGACTTGTCATATTCAGATAAGGCATCATTGGAGAACTCTTCTAATTCAAAGGTGTTGGTAAAGAGTGTTCTGCCTTTCTTGGTGTCTCTAGTTGGGGTTGTTCCTGTGGGAGGTCCTCTACTACCTCTCTTGGAGGATGTTGGTGTAGATGACATCTTGGAGTTCAGAGGAGTCTTGGAGTTAACTGGAACTATGGGTTGTGAAGACATTGAGATGATCAAGTATAAGCAGCCTTGGACGCCTAAAGGGGCCTGAATCTTGGAAACCAACAGGGGCCTGAACATTGAACACCAACAGGGGCCTGAACCTTGAACACCAACAGTGGCCTGATTGCTGCCTCCACCACCAAAGAATAGATCGAGAGGGTGCGTACACTTGCGTCAATGAACTTGAAGGGGCTTGGGGGTTGGTCTCAAAGATAAAGGCAAGAGACTTAGGGGAAATGTTCCAGAGATATAAGTGGATGAAGACTTAGAGGAACGGTTTCAGAGATATAAGGGCACAGAAGACTTAGGGGTAGTGTTTCGAAGATATAATGGACAGGAGATTTAGAAGGGGTGTTTCGAAGATTTAGGAGGTTGACTGTTGGTTGGATTGTTTGTTCAAGAGTTTGATGCTTGCACGATTGTAATAGGATTTCAATGGGGGAGAGCTCCAAGGTCTTGAAGGGGGTTGGAGGTTGGTCTCAAAGATAGGGCAAGAGACTTAGGGGGAATGTTCCAGAGATATAAGTGGATGAAGACTTAGAGGAAGTGTGTTCGGAGATATAAGGGACAGAAGCCTTAGGGGAAGTGTTTCGAAGATATAAGGACAGGAGATTAGAGTGGATGTTTCGAAGATTAGGAGGTTGGCTGTTGGTTGGTTGTAGTGGTTCGAGAATTTGATGCTTGCCCGATTGTGGTAGGATTGCAATGAGGGAGAGCTCCAATTCTCTGACGATGCATTTCAACAGCCGGTTGGTGGTCTCGGTCGGTTGGTGGTCTCGGTCGTCTTGTGTTGCCTTTCGAGAAACTCGTTGTTGCTGTGAGATCCAGTTCCTGACCCGTTTCTATAGTAATAAGCAGGGGTGTGGGGACTGATTCTCGTAGCGACAGTGGTGTCTTGATGGGAGTTAGTAGACAGTTGGTTGGTTGGTCGTTGTGTGGTGGTGGGTGGTGTGATTGCGATTTTCGAAGATAGGACGTGTGTAGAAACTGTACCAGGTTCTACGTGAAATGACTGGTATCTTCTGTTGCAGCAATCATTGATCGTTCGGCCGTTCGCCCCGTAGAGGACTTTCCGCTGTTGCGGGAGGCTCCAATGGGACCGGCAGTGTTAATAAGCTTGTTGTTCTTGTCTGTTTGGTGTTTTCACTACTGATGATAGTGTATCGATTCGGCCGTTGGCCATGGTCGATCCTTTTCGTTGGATCTGTTTTATGAGGTTTTGGTTGGTTGTGATTAGTTTTACGTAGGTTTCTACACGATTTGAGTACTGGGTCATAATAAAAGTCTTTTCGATAAAGCCAACGCTGGAATTATGCTGCTGCCACTGTTTCTGTGTGCATCCATTCCCATATCGTCGTAACCAAGATCATCGATCCAACTAGATCGTCTATTGGGCTGCATTTGGCTGTTGCGCAGGGACCTGCTGTTTCGCAGCACGCTGGATCATTTCCGGTCCTTGTATCCACCAGGGATGTCTCGAGACAGCGGGTTGTTAACTTTCAGGAGCTCGTCGTCCTTGCAAACTTCTTCGACCAAGACCTCATTCTCAACGTCATCATTAAGCGATTCAGGAGCTTGTTCTCTCTCATATAGACTTGTAGTATGGGCATGTTCTGCCGTCGTGTCTATGCTAGTGGTTGGGGGGCTTGTGGTATGGTTCAGCTGAAACCTCCCCAAACTAGCCCAAGTGCGTGCAATGGCTCCTTTTCTTTTCCTATCTGACTCCCACGCCAAGAATTTGGGAAGGAAGTCTATCCCAAGCATGACATGTCGAAACAAACAGTTGAAGTGAGTTCACGTGGTTGGCGAAAGGTAAATGAGCACATTGACGACGCGGCGAACTTACAGATTACCAATGTGGCTGCTGTGTCCCCAGAGAAAATCAAGCTCTCGAACTTTTGCAGTTTGTATGAACTGACATTCGATTGTAGCGTTTTGACGACGACCCGCAGCACAATGAACACAAAGTGGGAGTAAATCAGCAAGGCTAGTGTCGGCGTTTCACAAAACTGCTTCATCTCAACTTTCCGCATCTGAATGGCAAGGATCGTCGTGCACAAGAGAAGGAGACAATTCCAGCCAAGGGAGATATACGACCAAACCGGCGAATTGGAACCGCAAACGCCCAGTACTCATACAACAGTGTTGCCGTCCTCGTCAACCTCTTCTGAAAGGTTGTACTCGGGGACCACCCTTGGCGGGTCCAGCACTGTCCAACAGATCAAAAAAAATGACAACAAGGCTGCCGACCAAAATCACCACTCCATACAGCACATCACGCCTAATGCTGATTCGTCTCATCTGCTGACCAATGTTGAGAACGTGATTCACCGCTGCGACTTTGACGATCAGAGGACATAGCTCTGGACCGCAAACATGACACGGTAACGAAAGCAAAAGTGACGTGTTAGGATCTTTGCTGCACATGAATAGCTTCGATGTTTGTTGTGTTGGCTTACCCAGAGTGTATCCCAGGTTCATCAACCAGATTTCGACTGTACACGACGCATCGGTGCTAGGAGCACCCAGTAAGATTGCTCCCAATGCAATCAGAAACGATCCTCCCAGTAACAAATTCAAGAACTCAATTTGTGCCCACTTCATGGCATCGCGACCACTGTACTTCTGAACCAGAACAGTCGTCACCAAGACAAGCCCCAACACAGTGCCCCTAATAATAGTGGAGGCATACATCAACAGACTATGTTCACTTTTCCACAAGGGCGCGCGGGGATACGTGCGTGGGATGAATCGCGCATGCATAAAATCCATATTGTCGGCTACCCATTCACAGACGGCATCCCGTGGATCTCCCAGTCGGTTCCAAAGCTGAAAGACTTCCTCGACTTGCAATTCGGAAAATTGAAAGTTTTGCAAAGCCGAATGACTCGGACTTTGCACTGCCTTTGGAAAGGGCGTCCCATCGTAACTGTCATGGACATTACGAAACACTGTGGTGCTCATCAGACTCTTTAGTGTTTTGGCCGGTTCTCCACAAATGTTTTCGGGTGTCCCAATCTGTAGATTGTAGTCGGCGGAGCAATGATGATCTGAACTGGGTCTGCCTTCCAGACACTCGACCGTCGGAGGAGGAAAGCTCACTTGGACAAACTCGGCATCCGTTCCGAGGAACGTCCCCACACGTTTTTCGGGTTTCCAAAACATCATGATCACATCGGACTTGGTGGCATTGGCAGCCATCCATATTTCTTTTTGTTGCGAGTAGGAGTACTCCAAGTGATCCATGTCATTGTCCAATGGGATTTCGAGATAATGCAACTGCCCCGGGACAGGGCTACGCCAACTGCATTTGAAATCGACAATGTGTCCCGTGCATTGGTAGTGTGGATTGCTACAGTTGTTTCGTTTGGTAGCTCGGAAATATCCCGTGTTCCTTCTCGTTGATGGGTGCTCTCTGAGCCACAGTGTCGGCTGACGTACAATTGTCCCGTGATACTTCCTCGCAGTAATCGTGCCAAGTTGTGGGTCGCTTGAAACTGTCGGCCAATTTTTGTCGGTTGTCGTCACCCTGAAGTCCCAAATAACTGAGCAAGGTGGGATCTCTTTGTGCGGTAAACTTGGGGACAAACCAAGACTCTTGTGCCAGCATACCCAAGCTCTGTGGCGGCTCCAGGATCCCCTCGTATATTTGATTCTGTACATCGGGGTGAGTGTACAACCAGCTTTCCGTCAAGAAGTGACCACACTGCTGATATCCTATGGATTGTTGTTGTTGCGCCTTGCTGCAATCTCCGTCCAATTCGTAGGCCAGCGCAAAGGCATCCGTGTACCCCCGGTAATCGGCATGATAATCCACGGGTTTGTCCGGGTGGTACAAATTCAACGACAGGTCCGGGCTACCCATTTCCACTGAGGCAGGCACAAACAGCATTTCCTGAAGTGCAATCTGAAGGATCCAAGTTTCAAAGAATGTTTACTAGAACAAACAGAGAATACCAGATCAGAAGAGCAAGCGAGTGCAGTAAGTTGAGGGTGACATGGCCACAGGCAAAGAGGGTGGCTGTGGGAAGGATGGTATCGACTGTTGGAAACTTACAGACTCCCAATCTCCCGGAATGATGCGAATCTCGGGATAGTCAATGGGCGCCATTCGACACCACCCTTTCTCCACCGCCTCGGGCAAGGGATCTTCGGAACCGCAAACTCGAATCTGGCGGGTCAAATTCTTGGAGTAGAGACATCCTTGCTGGTACGGATTGGTGGCAGTTGTAGCGGCTACAGAATTAAAGACCCAACCAATGAGGAGCGCATGGAACACCCCCATGGTCGTGCAAACAAATTCACTGGACAACAATGTATTTCGAGGGCATGCGAAGCTAAAAGGAGAGGTTGAAAGTTGAAAGTTGAAAGTTGAAAGTAGTCTACAAAGCGAATGGTTGCTGCTTGCTGCTTGTTGTTGTTTTGCTTTCTTCTTGTAAAAATGCGATCCCCACCAGCTTCCCCACCCAACTGTCAACGAAGCTGTCAAGAAAAGTGTCTCGAGCCTTGAGGTCAATGAGCCCATACATCGCTACATCGGCACAACTCAAGCATTATGCGGATAAACCATTAAATATTGTTTTAACATGTCACTTCAATCGGTACGGTACTAATGTTCTTTACTAAGACATTGAAGCTATAACTATATGAGTTGAAAGAATTTGTTAAATAAAAGGCCCATTGACGCAAACAGCAAGCAGAAGCAAGCTTCACCATTCCGCATTTCCGATAGAAGACTGTATTAATAGTAGAACCAGCACTCACTAGCTAGCGTGTCCCAAATAGTGAAGTTTCGACATTTTTTTCGAGTTTCGATTTCGACTTTCGACTTTTGTTTCGACTTTTGCTTTTTGTAACTCGAAACATGAAATCGAAACTTGGAAGTCGAAACTCGAAATTTTGACTTTTTTGGCTTCAGAAGAAAAAAAGTCGAAACTCCAAATTTCGAGTTTCGCCTTGGTTTGTGAACCAGTTCACTAGTGATCGAACGAATCCCACTAGTGATTTAGTCAGTCCAACCGTGTTTTGATTTTAAGAAAGCTAGACTCATCCCAAGACCACACGACAACACACGCTACCGCTACTAGCTAGCAGGCTGTCGCTGTTGTTGTTGTTGTTGTTGTTGTTGTTGTTGTTGTTGAACCCGTCCGTCATTGTCGATCGCTGGCCATTGTGGAGTGTTTCGGCCATTGTGGAGAGTGGAGAGGAAAGAAAAGGGCATAGCTTTCGCTGTTTTCGATTTTTGGTGGTGAAATTTATGAAGAAAACTGGCCTGCATCGAAAAGGATCCTTTGTTTCGTGCGTGGGAGAGGCTGCTGTTAGTTCTCTCTTAACCTTCTGTTAGACAAGGACCAGTGGACCAGCAACAAATTCAATTTTCCATCTTCTGGTACAACAAAATAGCCATAGGTATTGTCTCAGAATGTGGAAAAATGGTGTTGCAGCTGTGGGTATGGCTTTTGTGCATTCAATCCCACGAACCATTGGTTAACGATGTATCCTACCGTCCGACGCACATCGGCAAACAACACGAAAAATCGAGCGAAAATAGCGCTGCATGACCTTTTTATTGACACTGTTAACTCCCTTTCGACAGCTTGACTTTGCTGTGAGCCCTTTCTATAAGTCTATCGGTGGCATTGCCGCTTATCCTGCCACCTTTGGAGCACCAGAGGCTTAGACATAACAGGGTGGAAAAGAATCAGCGATACGGCTGTTTAAGCCTTCCTGAGCACCTATGAGTGGCAGGTCAAGTCTCTTTGCCTTCTTTACTATTGTCCCAACAAGTTTGTTTATGGTTGCTATCGCCGAAAAGACCCAGTGCAATACACGGCTCTTAGCCTTATTCGCGACTCGATCCTAGATAGGGTTTGAGTTCGACTCATGACTGAGTCTTTCGTGAATAGTCACTGAGACAGGGTTCTCATGACCACTAGTCATACTAGGTCGATGGTGAAACATCGCGCTAGATATTTAGCTGGCGTGGAGAGATTCCACGCTACTAGATAAATGCT